CCACCCCACCCCACATAACTATACTAACCTGGCAACCTCTCTCTATATATAAGTTGTTATGTATCTATTCGATACATATATTCTCTCCTATACCAACAATATCTAAATCTTGAATCTCCATCTCTATTACAAGATTTCCAACATGTTATTTAGTAATACTTGTGAATATCCTATGATGGACTCCTTACCTAGGCCATTGATCGTGGATGGAACAAAATGGAGGTCGAAAAATGTCGAGATAGCTCCAAATTGTCCGAGGTGTGCCTCGACCAACACGAAATTCTGCTACTACAACAACTATAGTTTGTCACAACCTAGGTACTTCTGCAAAGGCTGCAGAAGGTACTGGACTAAGGGTGGATCATTGAGGAATGTGCCGTTTGGCGGTGGTTGCCGAAAAAGCAGGCGGGTGAAGGCAGCAAGGCCGGTGGAGTGCGGTGGTGCAAATTATGTCGATCGAGGTCCTAGTCCGACAGGTGATCAATGCGTGGATATTGATTTGGCCGCAGTTTTCGCGAATTATTTGAACCAAAATGTGGAAAATAATGAGAAATGTGGTGGTGAGGAGTCTTCTAGTCCTGGAGCTAGTTGTGCATCATCATCTGAAGTTCAAGCAAGTTCTTTGGACATTGATATACAACTAGAAGATCCTTTATTTGAGTATCAAAAGCCCGTTGAGCCCGTAGATTTCATAGATGCCGCTCAGTTTCAAGGAGTGCTAATTACTGATCATGTCTCCAATATTCATGAAGAAAATGTTCAAAAATTCATGGATCATGATCCTTATGATTTCAAGTTGCAAACTATGCTTGGAGATGAATTAGGGCCTGAAATTTGGTCTGATAGCCCGAATTTGCCAAATTTTCAATGCCAATTACCTATGCTGCAGTTTCGTGATTTTGAAGTATTTTCTCCAAATGATCAATTAAGAATTTCTGCAAATCTTGACGGCAATTATTGGGGCTCATTTGATCTGTCTGGTTATGAATTGTTTTCCGGGCCTTGACTCCAGAACATTTTTTCATTTTTGGTTTTTGGCTGAAGGGGATTGCTACTAGTCATGGAAGTTAATTGTCATAATTATATATATGAAAAGGGTTTGTCATGATACTTATTCAATTATAATTACATACTAATTTAAAGGAGTAAAATAAACCCCTTCTTTTTTCTTTTACTTTCTTTGGCTTTTAAAATAATTATTGATGATGGAATGGTTGTTACTTTATGATGTGATTGAAATCATGTGAAATATTTATGGCACATGGACATGGGAACACAATGCAATACAGCTGAAATTTAACTCTCTCTTTTTCTTTTTTTTTTGCCTCTTGAGATGATTGTCGAAGGTTGAATTAGCAAAAATGCTTAATTAAAATGCATTCAAAGTGTAACTTGGAAAACCAAAAAATAAAAAAAAGCAAGCAAGATTTAGATAAAATAATTGAATTTCTGTGTACAAGTTTGACACTCAAAGATGTGACAAAATTTGTGTCATTGATTGTTCAAAATGTTGTTACAATCAATGAATCAATATATAAAAAGTTGTCACCTCACAACGATGTCAAACTTGATTTAGATGTAGTAAGATTGAAAATAATCAATAAGATATGTGAAGCACTTTTAGATCTTTCTAAATACAGCAATACATAAAATCTTATTCTCAAGTCAGCAAAGATGATTCTTGTAGGTTGACAAATCAGCATAAAATTTTGTTGCGTTCGACACTTCACAAAATAATCTGCCATTGATTTTTTCATGAAAAACCAAAGCAGCTGTAACAACAATTTATGAAGTGTAGGATTCAACTCGAATTCCATTTTTCACAGTAATTGAAAAAGTTATATGATTTAATGGACAGACAATTCTTTTAAATCTATGATATTCTGAGGTCAAGAAACAAGAATTGGCTATTGTAAAGTCCAATCAAGCTCTAAAGGAGCACATGTTTTGCCTAAAGATGGTGATCTAATTAAATGTAGCAGACACCTTAATAATGTTGATTATCATGAGGTAGAATGTTTGACAATACTATTGTAATGGAAAGAATTATGTCTATAGATCCCAAAGGTCCTTTCCTTAGGACCATTTGAGGGTAATTGAATTGATTGTTCAATTGATTTCTTCCAGTTTGCAACTGCCAAGACGGTGTAAATGCACATCAAATGACAGCTCTATCTGATAACAATATACTGAAAATCTTTTTCATATTT